GTGGCAATTCAACCCCAGGCTGCGGGCCTAGTGGCCTTTTCCTGGCATGGCACAATCATGGAAGCAGCAACTGCGGGGAGGGCGAGGAGCGGTGCAGTCCCCGCCGCGCCCGCCCACGCGGAAGGCAGCCGGGGAGGGGGGACTCGAGGGCCCGAGCCACGCGGGGAGCAACAGCTGTCGATGTCGCGCCCCGGGACCTCGCCTCCGTAGGGCCGACCCCGCGCCGGGGCCGAGAGGAGGGGCGGCGAGGGGCGGGGCGCGCGGGGCGGGACGGAGGAGGGGCGGTGGCACCGGCGGCTCGGGCTCGGCGCGCCGAGGAAGTCCCGCTCCGAGAGCTGCGAGCGTCTGGAGGAGGCGCGCTCGACGCGGTCGGGGAGCGAAGTCCGGAGCTAGGGGCCCCCTTCGCCGCCGCCGCCCGCTCCTGCCACCGTCCAGCCTGGGCGTCTGCGGCGGCCGCCGATGGAGTTCACCTGAGCTGTGAACCGGCGGGAGAGGCAGGAGCCCGCGAGCCGAACGCGGGCCGGAGCCCCGCCATCCCCGGGCGCTCGCCCGCCAGCCCGCAAGCTCCGGCCGGAGGCGCCGCCACCCCGCGGCCCGGCTGCTGCAGCGTCTCCTGGGCCGCGAGCCGGCGAGATCCGCACAAAATCTGAACTCCCGAAACGGCTCCCCCCGGCGCCGCGGAGGCAGCGGGCTCAGGACCGAGCAGCCCGCGGCGCGGCTGGAGAGGCGGGACCGGCTGTCGGGGAGCCCCGGGCGGCTGCCGGGGAGAAGCCGCCGCGCGCCCTCCTCCTCCTCCCTCTCCCTCCTCCCTCCCTCCGCACATGGTCTCCTTTGTCCTGTCGCCGCCGCCGCCTCGCTCTTAGCTCCGCGCGCCACGGCGGCGGCTGGGGCCGCTCCCGCCCGCCTCGCCCTCCCGCCAGCCGGCCCCGGACGTGCCTCGCGAGCCCCAGCCGCGCCCGCCCGGCCCCGCGCGCCGCAGGAGCGGCCAGGAGACAGCGGCCCGCGCGGGCCGGGCGATCTCCGCGGGCGAGCTCCTCCCGCCGCTCGGGGCCTCGGCCGCGCCGGATGGTGCGCGCGGCGCAGCTTCGCCGCCGCCCCGAAGCCGCTGCCCCGTTCGGATCTGGTTCGGCGCCTCCGCTCTCGGACTTCGGCGAGGAAGTAGCCCAGAGACTCTTGCGCACGGAGCCGCGTCGGGAGTTGGGCGTTTTCTCTTCGTGTGTTTCGGTGGTTTCCCCCGGTCTCTGACGATCGCCCTTCAGGAGCCCGGTTAAGGAATCACACCATGAACTTGGGGCTGACCGGACCGCTTGACCCTTTGCGACCAGGTAATGCAGCCCCCTGGGCGCGGCTCGCTCGCCCGCCACCTGCGGTCGGAAGGGAGGCGGCCGGGTCTGGGGTCTTTTGTTGCGGCGGCCGAGTCGGCGGGCAGGGGTGGCAGGGGCGGGCTCCTCGCGTCCGGCGCGCCCAAGCCCCCCTCCGCCACCCCTCCTCCCTGCTTTTCTCCCCCCTCTGCGGCCCTGTCGCCCGCCTTTGTACTTTCCTCCCTCGGCCGGCCGGGCTCGGCTGGGGTGCGGCTGCGCGGGGCCCGGAGCTGTGCGGTCAGCCCGGGAGGGCCTGGCGTTCGCCCCCGAGTTCCGATGCGGGGAGGGGGCCGGGGCCTGCGTCCGCTGGAGCTGGGGGCCCGGGCGCGGCGCGGCGCTGCCGGCTCCGGGGGTCACGCTTGCCCCGCGCCGCGGTCGGAATCTCGCCTGCACGCGTTGCCAGGGAATCGAAAGGAGATCTGGGCTCGGGTTCGGCAGCGGGTGAAAGAACTCGGGCTTAAGTTTGCAGGAGGTTTCTCTTTTCCCGTTCGAAAGCCCCGCTTCGCTTCCCGCCTGTGCGGGTGCGGAGGGCGGCCCCCGGGGTCTGCGTCCGAAGGGAGTGAGGGTGGACCTGGAGAGGGATCCGCCGGGTCCCACCCTGTCTGCAAGCAGGGCTTTCATAAGTTTGCCTCATTCTCCGCGTTCCCGCCTCCTTTCTGTTTCTCTTATTTAACTTTTCTTTAAACGCCAACTACGGCTTCTAGCAATTTTTTTTTACATCCAAAACAAAACCAAAAAAAAAAAACCAAAAAAACAAAAAAACTTCTTCCCCTTCCCCTTAAATAAAAAGCAGCCAAAAGAGAGCTTTGGTTTTCTGTCAGTTTTAGATTCAACCACTTCTTGCTCCTACCCTCCAAAACCGAGCCGAGGGGGTGAAAGGAAGTGAGTAAAATCTTCAAGTCTGTAGCGGGTAGAGGTGCCCCGTGTTGGGAAAAAAAAAAAAAAAAAAAAAAGGAAAGAAGGAAGAGCTCCTCTCGCCTGCTCACTCTGGGCTCACCGGATTTCCATTAGATTAAGGCTCCCCTCGCCCGCTCACTTTGGGCCCACCGGTTTTCCATTAGATTAAGCGGGGGGAAAAAGCCTGGAAAATGATCCAGGTAATAGAAGGAAATGCAGACTTTTTTTCTGAAAGCAACGACAATGGAAAGCATTTCCCAAGATCAAGACCCAAGGAACCAAATCATTTGTCCAAGTGTTCTAAAAGCCTAAGTAGAAGGGAAGTTCATCGAGGAAAAGCAAAGGGTACTCGTGTCGTTTCCCCTTAAGATTTTAGTGAAGAAGCCTGACTTGTTAGGACAGTGGTCGGCCACAATTGTAACCACCTGGATGGGAGAGGGGAGGGATCCAGAATGCTTGCAGCCGTCATCTTATGGGTGTTTTTCTGTGGAGGCCTTTCTGAGACACCCCTTTCTCGGTCGCAAGAGGCATGGTGTCCAGCCTTACTACTTGTATCAGTGAAGTAAAGGTTCAGAAAGCTTTCAATCGAAGATACACTCCAGAGCCTCTCCGAATATCCGGTCAGACTTACTTCCTTAATAACTTGCTGGTCGGCCTCGTAGTAATGACATCTTCAAGTTTGGTTCAGACATGAGGATCACGAAAGTGTCTGTTTGAGAATCCCATGTGGAGCCCAGTGGAGCTCACAAAGGTGGCAGAGCAAAAGGCCTGTTTACCGTCAGCTTCTGTCCTTTTCCCTGGAACACGCATACACACATACACCAAGTGCAAATAAAAACTCGGTCAGGAACCGTTTCCTTTCCCTGTTTATGCTTTTTTGTTTGTTTGTTTTGTTTTAATTTTTAGACTAAAAAATTTCAACAAGATCTTCAAGGTATGTTTATGCTTTTTGCATTCGGAGACAGTAATTTGTTTTTATATTTCTTGGGCCCAGTTAAGACTCACTTTAATAGGCCATCCCAGAGTTTTCAAAGGTTATGTCAGTTTGGTAAAACACTTTAATGAACAGACTTTCTTTTTTCCTTATATCAGTTCATTAATTTTGTAAGCCCTGAATTTAACGTGAATTTACATTCCAAAAGAATTCTAAGCCATTCAAAGAGACACTTTTTCGTGAAAGGATGGTGAAATACACATACCTCTTTTTAGCTGGGAAACTAACATTCCAAAAATCTCACATAATATTTCAGTATAACATCATGGAATTTTTGGCTTTATAACTCAGTATTGTTGATCTATGTATAACTTGTTTCTCCCCTGTTAACATTTTTTTGGCAGTTTGTTTTTATGGAAAGATACTGTCAGGAAGGCCCTCTGTATTTTTCATTATTCCTGCAGAATAGGAGGACAAAACCTATCCAGGGCTTGCGTTAAACTGCAGGTATAAATGTATGCACTTCAGTACTTGTTTTGACATACCTTCATTGGTTTCTTGATTGGTTAATCCTATGAAGACCCCCATAACAGAAATGTTAGAATTAAATAAAGCAGAAAACAGTCATAATAAAAATATTTTATGTCTTTCTGTATCACTTGCATCGAGAACTAGAACCCAGATGTACACAGGAATATTTTATCTTTGTCAGTATGACATGGAAAGACTAAATTGAATATCCTCTTTGTCCGTAAAAGCCAGCCCAGAGTCAAAATATGCTGCACTTCAGAATTCACCCTCCCCCGATTTCCTATATTTTCCTTTTTCCATATTCATTCCACATTCTAGGCTGTGCTTCTTAGAATACGCATTTCTGTGTATCAAGTGTGAAAGAGAAGTGATTTCTCACAAGGGTTGTGTAGTAGAAACAGTGTCAATATAGCTTGCCCATCGTAACTTTAAATGCATACACAGCCTCACATTAAGTAGTGGAGATTTTTAATTTTTAATTTTTCCAGTTCTAGGACTATTCAGTGCTTCTGAAACGTTAACAGCATTTTCCTTCAAACCAACTTCATGTTTCTTTTCCAGAATATTAGTGTATAATTTAAATTGGCTTTAGTTTTACTGTTTAAACAGGCTTATTTCACCTTCCCCAAGCCACTGTAATAATTAGCAGACATGCTTTCTGGAAAATGAAAAGGAAATCATGCTGGTGGCATTCATAGTGGTCGGATTTTGGGGCAGTTCGGCTTGCGTCTTTTTGAACAGCAAGGTCGTCTGGTTACTGCAAGGGACAGGGATCTTGGAGTCATCAGATGAATCCTTAAAAAAAATTAATTTCTGAGAGTGTTGGCTGACACTTTTTAGTGAGGAAAAACAGCATTAAATAACAGGCATTTCTGATTTGTGAAAGAAAATTGAGAAATAGGCATGTCTGCAAATACCACAAAAAATACCATTTCCAAAATAATGATCTGTCAGCGAAATTGCAAAATCATTATGTGAATGAGCCGAATTGCTTTATGTATCATCTCATGGAAATATGTTTTGCACAGATAATGTGTCTAATAAGGACACATTTTTAAAATCAGATTTTTTTTTCCTCCAGCAAATAGCTGCACTGCAGGTCTCTCTGAGGCAGTCAACTAGCGCCACCTTATGGATGATTTGGGGACATTGCTGCTTCCCTGCTAGGCTTTTGTAAAATGTAGTAAACTGATTTAAAGTAATGGGAATGGTGGTGGTGATGACAATATTAATGACAATAATAATGTTTCCCCTCCCCCCTGCCTCTTGTTTTTCAGGCATCGGATGCCAGCTCTGAAAAACTCTTCAACACTGTCATTGTAAACAAAGGTAAGGCCCGTTTGTTCTTCTGAGTAATGGCTTATTTTTTCATTCGTTTCATTGTCATTGCCTGAAGAAAGAAGAGCCAGTGTGATCTTGCTCTTTTAATTCTGGAGCTACTGTTGATGTTTCGTGTTTTTGCTTGAGACGAAAGTCTGCATACTTTGTGATGCATTAACAACTAGTTTATTTTAAAAGAATACATTGAGTCTCCATTTAAATTGATTTGGCTAATCACTACTGTTATGTGACGTTAATATCGAACGCTGTACTGGAGAAGAATCTTTATTGTTACTTATCAACTACCCAGCAGCAGGAGAAATATAAATAGCTGATGTGTGTTGCAGACTCTGGTAATCAGTGAATGTTTAGTATTCACAGTATTGTGGTCATAAACGAAGCCATACTCTGCTGTGGGCTTTCTGTAAAGTTAATAAATGAGCAAGAGGGCAGAATTTAAATATGCGCTATCCCATTAATTTCTTCCCAACCACAATCTAGAGTAAGAGGCTAATGACATAACAGTACATTAAGGGAAAACTAACCTTAAATCATTGCCAGAGGCTTCCACGCCGTTTTCATTTGTAGCAGTGTTGCTGGAAATCATGAAATTTAGAGAAATCTCTAATCGCTGGCTCTGAAAAGTGTATAATTGGAAAGGTACAAACCATAAAAACTATTTAATCTTCCCTTTTCCACTATCAAGGCTGATTTAGGGGCTGGCGTGATAATTGCTAAATAAAGATGTGCTTTCCGTGATAATCTCTCTGTTACGTGGACAACACTTGGTAGCACTTCAACAGACTTGGGTCTTCACAAAGTGGAATTTGAGACCATTTCAGCCTTCTGTAGTTGCCTTGGCTAGCATTTTTGCTAGCTGGTTAGTAAGATGTTTCCAAGTGCAGTTATTTTGAGCTCCCAGATTATCTTAGAATTTGAACCAATTGCAGTTTTAAATAGTACATTATGTTTAGAGTTCCCTTGAGGTGTATATGATTGCTGTTACTCCCAGAATTACTGTCACATTGAATTTTATCTTTCTTTATTGCATAATGGAGTATTCCGGTTTTATCTTTCATCATATTTTTTGATGGACTGAAAGTTTGTATAAATGTGTTATCCATAATGCTAAAAGCCCAATAAAAGGAGTTGTGTACCATTCATAGCATACAGGGCTTGTGTGGAAAAATGCACAGTTGTCTACCACTTGGTGACAAGGGAGGGTGATGGGGTAGGGAGACTGAGGTAGAGGACAAGTCACCAAAGGCAGGGCTTCTTTGTTTCTGCGCCCCCTCCCCAGGACCTCTGCCACACGTGACTGCATCTGTCTTCTGCAGACTGGCCACTGAAAGCTTTGGAATGTATTTCCCCTTCTGGGTTCGGGCCCCAGAATAAGAGCTGGCTGCAGGACCGCGCTCTGGCTGCCGCTGCCCCAGACTCTCTTCAGGACAGATGCACTGTTCCCCTCTGCCTCTTCCCTCTGGTTCTTTTCCCCCCTTTCTTTCCTTTTCCAATCAAACGTTTCCCACATTCTTATTTTTGTTTACTTACAGAGCGTGATTTGTGGCATCTATTTGGCTGTGAATAGTCCTGCCCCTGACAGGGTGCCTTTCTTCTGAGCTGCTTTTCTGCGGGTGATTTAGTTGCCTTGAAAGGATTAAGGTTTCTTTGTGTAAACTAAAATCAACATAGGCTTTTCCTAAGCTTTGCTTGGGAAACCATACACAAATAAGCATTTTAGTTGATGGCAGATTATTCCTTTGCCCCTTATTTCCATCAAAATGGCCTTTCTTTTCTCCTCCAGAGTTTCCCCTTAATGCCTTATGCTAATTCCTCTTGGTAGCATGAATGACAAGAGACGGAATCAGTGCGAATCCAGGTGGTGCAAAGTAGACTGACTGGTATCCAGCACCCCCTGCCTCCCTGGGGAGAAAGATTAAGGAGGGTGCAGAGGGGGAAAGCATCGGGGACAGTTTTGTTAAGGGGATTAGTATTCAAACTGCTAAATATCAGGAAAACAACTTCAAAAAGGGATTCATTGTGTAGCGATAATGTCAATAATTGCTTCGGGACAGGTGCAGAGTCTCGTTATAGGCTTGTGGTTTTGGGTCTGTTTTTACTCCGGGTGGTGGCCGTGTTTACAGGATGGATGGTTGACAAGGCCTTCAAGGAACTGTCAGATTCATGCACGTCAAGTTCAAGTTTTTCTACAAGGCGGCCAGCCTGCCTGAAAGTCAGGTCTCCTCTCTTTGTCTGAGTATCTTTAGCCAAGAGCAATAAAAAACATCGTAAGAAAGGGCAAATTTATACCAGGTAACAAACAACTGGGGAAATCGTCAAAGCCCCAGCTTATGGAGTGAGTGCAGCGGGGCTGACACGTGTATCCCTCCACCTCCAGATGTTTAAAGTTACACATCACCTCTCCCTCTCAAGGGGCTGGGCAGTATTCTGGCCTTAGAGGAGTGTGGCTTTAAGCTGCTGGTGAGATTATGCTGTTGAGCCTGATGGCAGGCAGATTTGGTCCATAAAATTTCACCGTGGGAGGGCAGTGCTAATCTCACAAGCTGATTGTGGTGAGGGCTTGGAGGGTGCAGCCGTGATGGGGGGCTGCACAGTGTGGAGATGAAGCTCCAGGCAGAGGCAGCAGGGACAGCGGCTCAAGGCCCATCAGTCAGGTCTGGATTTGCAATTATAACGAAACCTATTCCCGGGCCAGCATCTCTGGTGGGGATAAAACCATTAATTGGGAAGGGGCAGGGTTGAAACAGAGCGGTATCATGAGTAGATTTTGTGTCACTTTTGTCCATCGACTATTTCAACGTTCCCTGTGTTGTAGAGGCCATCCAGTTTAATAGCGGGCTAGTAAGATTTTTGTGTTTAGGTGTTCCGAATGGTCGCTTTCTTCTAATGCCTTTGACTTCCTGCTTTATAACAAGTTGATCAGACAGCACGTGCTTGCATGTACACACAACATGCCCAATGAGAACTGGGCATTTCGAAAGGGGTGTGGCATCGAGCAGGGCTTAGTGTTGGAGACACAAAAAACGGTTTAACTTTAATCAAGGTCATGGTTGCTGTATTTAATCTTTATGTGTTTAAATGTTTACAGGATGTTCATGTGAATTTTATGAATCCTTCTGTCTTTGTGACTCAACCATCTGCCAAAGAAAAAATTAATTTTCCCAGTGAGACAGAGACACAGAGAGAGACTAACTTAGCATCCCTGTTTAGTTAATTGAAACGCTATAGGAGCAACAGGACTTGTACCCCAAATTCTGGGGTATTTATTCCAAAGAGGAACTTCTCACTGTATGCACATGGCCAGTATTTATTATCCTTTCTTACCTGCTCTAGAACCTTGGTGGTGTCACCAGCTTGGTCTGTAGACAGAAGTGCAGAAGATGAGTTCTTTGCTGCACGCACCTGTCCTGCCAAGATAATGAATCTTTCCTAAAGCTCTTGGATTGTTCCAGAGCAGAGCCGGTTGAAGAGGAAAGAAAAGAAGGGAAGCCTGTCTGGGAGGAAGGAGAACAGCAGGCAGGCGTCAGGAGTTTTGCAGAGCCCTCTGTTTATAGGATGTCAGTCCTGGTGTGGGGCCGTGGTTCTAGGTTAGGGGAAGAGAAAAACCCCTGAATCGCTGCCCCTTCTTGGTTCAGAGTCGTCCTTTTCAGGATTTACCCTGCAACCAAGACAAGTCACAGACAGACAGTGAGAGGGGCCCATTGGTGTATTTTATCCCATGACTTTCTCACCCTTTCGCTCTCCTTCAACTTTGTCTCACATTGCAGAACTGGGCCCTCCTGGGGAAAAGCCACCTCAGTGAGCCATCAGGGAGCTGTGTCCAGCCAAATGGGCATCTCTGAATGGCTTGGGGGTGGGTTTCATCCAGTGGGGAATGAAGCCTGTCATTCTGCTTCTTTCTACTGTGAGCACCCAGTGTCTTTTGAAATGTGAACAGCAACAGAGCAGCCGCTCACCCTCATAGGCAGGACCCTACTTCACCTCCATCAGCTGGGAGAGTCTAGTGGACACTCACGCACCAAGAAGAGCGCTGGATGCAGTGCTGTGGCCACCTGGAGCCCTCTGACCAGGACTGCTTTTCCTCTCCCGGGCCCCACCAGGCCTCTTAGTGGAACCCACCCGGCCTCTTCTCGGGGTTGGTTTTGCACTGAGAATTTCTAGTGGGATACAGATGAGGTTGGAGCCTTTAGGTGAGTGGAGCCTTTGGATATTTTTGGCAGTGTGGTTATATCGGTATTGTAGAAAGAAGACCTAGCTTAAAAATTGCCTGAAATCTGAGGAGATGAGGTAAGAAACAGGTTACCCAGAGATACTGCTGGCTTAGTAACCGGGTACCTAGTAAATTCTTCAGAGGTGACCATATGACCGTATTCTTTAGGTTTAGACACAAGGGATTTCCTTGGTTTGGTGACGGAAAGGTAAGAGTTATATTACCATCAAGGTCACCATTGACTTTTAAGAAAAACCCATTCCCACCAAGCATGGTCACTCATGCCTTTAATCCCAGAACTTTTGGGAGGCTGAGGTAGGAGGATTGCTTGAGCTCAGGAGTTCAAGACCAGCCTGGGCAATATAACAAGACCTCTTCTCTTCTAAAATTCCAAACAGCTAGCTGGAGGTGGTAGCATGTGTTTGCAGTCTCAGCTACTTGGGTGGGTGAGGTGAGAGGATCGCTTGAACTCGGGAGGTTGAGGCTGCAGTGAGCCCTGATTGTGCCACTACAGCCTGGGCAACAGAGTGAGATACCATCTCAAAAAAAAAAAAAAAAGGAAAAGAAAGCCCCTTCCATAAAATAATTCTGTGCATGAAAATAATGCAGTTGACTGTGGAATAGCTTTCTAAAGAAAACAATTTGGTTTAGAGTTTAAAATCCCTTTATAATGAATATATGGAGACCATTTTACAGTTCCTCATAGGGTTCTGGATTTAGTTGTAGGGAGGACATCATGTAAAGTGCATTCCTGATGGGCACAGAGCATACTGTGCCA